TGTCTGCAGCTGCCTCCCCCAGGTCTCCTCTTTGCTGCTGATGGTGTCCTGTCTTGGAGAGTAGATACCCTGTCTGGTCCTGAATTCAAGGAGTCCCCAAAGTCATGATTCCCAAATTGGCCGTTTGCCGAAGACACTGACCTTCATCCTGGACATCTGGATGCTACGCATCTTCTCCTGCAGCACATCCACTGTGTTCCCGAGCTTCGCTGAAGCACCCGCATTAGCTGAAAGCAGAGGAGGGGGCAGGGGTGGAGGCAGAGATGTGGTAGGAACCCTGGTGGGCTAGTGCTCCAACTCTTTTGATCAGGAGAACACTCAGGCAGTGGCTCCGTGAGGGCATGGAGGATGCCCCGGGAGCTGTGGGCAATTGCCTCCAGGAGCAGCTGCCTCCTTTGTCATGAGACCTGGACTGGATGGTACTCAGCCATCCGGGCAGACACCTACTGGTCTGGTGGCCACCTGAACATGACCGTGGTGCTTAAGGACATGTATGCCTGCAGCAGCAGTGGCTCCTGACCCTTCTCTTCCAAAATCTGGTCAGGGTTGTTGGCACTTGGTAGAGCTGGTCTTCTCCAAGTGCTCCCCTGACAGTCCTGTTTCTCGGGATCATTTGGAAAGTGTTTTCAAGAGTTCTTTTAACGTCTTAAACTCAGACCCTAACTCCTACCCCCTGAGAAGAGATCAATGAACCACAACAAACAAGCAAACAAACTCACTGCCATTGAGTTGATTCCAACTCTTAGTGACCCTGTTGGACAGGGCCCCTGAGAACTGGTCCTCAGACTGTAACTCTTTACAGGAATAGAAAGCCTCATCTTTCTCTCTCTGACTGGCTGGTGGTTTTGAACTGCCGGTCCCAGGCATAACCACTATGCCACCAGGGCTCCAGGTGAACGTACATGCATTGTAAAGGAACATAGTAGGGGACTCTTGGGGGGCGGGGCGGTGGCCCTGGTTCGATGATCCTCAGGTGTAACCATCACCCCGGCTCTCAGTGGTCAAGTATTGCTAGGATGCTAAGCGGGTTTCAACAAAGCTTCCAGACTAAGACAGCGTGAGCAGAAAGGCTTGGAAAGATTGCCTCCTGAAAACCCTTCAGGAAACGCTCAGGACCAGCGCCACCAGGTCCCCAAGTAGTCATGAGGCTGGCACAGGATGGGGCCAGCATTTGGGTATGCTCCGAGGGGGGTCCCAGGGCATCGGGGACACTGGCTGGCCTCTTAGAACAATGCAGGAGAGATTGGTGTTTCCTCCACAGGCACGCATGGCTAACAGTTCAAAGGGGCATTTTGATAGGGGTGGGAGTGCGGGGAGCTGAGGAAGAGAGCAGAGGGGCCTCTCTCGGGCCCCAGGGGCACCCGGGCCTGCTCCTGGGCCTACCGATGTAGTTCAAGTGCTGCTGCAGGTGGGAGTAGAGCTGAGCAAACTCCTCCTTGATGGAGTCGTGTCTGGCAGGCAGCGTGGCGATGTAGCTCATGGACTTCTCCACCGCCTTCTTCTTGTCTTGGGCGCTCACTGCCTGCTGGGTGGGCAGAAAGGAGCTGGAGAGAGAGGGCTGGAAGGGGAGGTTGGTCAGTGACTGTGGAGGGGAGTAGTAGTGATTGTCCTCATTGACGTCTTCGCTTATGTCCACAAAGCTGGTGGCCCCTCGGCTGGTCCCGGCACCTAGGTCATCCATGAACACTCCCATGGGTCCGGCTGATGCCGTGGCCGAGGCTAAGGAGGCCATTTTGGTGGCAGGGGCGTCCTTGACCCGCTTGGCAGCGGCCTGGGCAGCCTGGGCTGCTGAGTTGGCGGCGGCAGCGTAGGCAGCAGCAGCAGCGGCGGCAATGGCAGCGGTGGTCCTCATCCGTTGGAGGGCAGACCGGGGAGCCTTGGAGGGCTTCTCCTTGGGGGGCTTCTCCTTGGGGGCCTTGTCCTTGGGTTCTACCAAGGCAAACTGCTCTCCTCCCTTTTCTTTGACACCCTGGGATGGGGTAGTACTCGAGTGGCGGGACTTGTAAGGCTGGAGAGGACGGGGCCATGCTGAGCCCAGCTCCTTGGCAGGTGGTGGGGCCCTGGAGTAGGGATACTGGGGGTGGCCTGGCTGCAGGAGTCCTGACAGGCCGGAGTCAGGGGGCACAAAATCTGGGGGCAAGAACGGCCAAGGGCTTGCTCCAAACCAGCCTTCGGTGGGCATAGGCCAGGCTCCAGGGCCTGTGGGCCAGCCCGGGGGTGTTGTGGGCCAGCCTGGAGGAGGTGTGGGCCAGCCCGGGGGTGTTGTGGGCCAGCCTGGAGGAGGTGTGGCCCAGTCCGTGGGGGGCGCTGTGGGCTGGCCTGGAGGAGGTGTGGGCCAGTCTGTGGGGGGTGGCGTGGGCCAGCCGGGGGGTGTTGTGGGCCAGCCTGGAGGAGGTGTAGGCCAGCCTGGAGGTGTTGTGGGCCAGCCTGGAGGAGGTATGGGCCAACCTGGGGGAGGTATGGGCCAGCCTGGGGGTGCTGTGGGCCAGCCTGGAGGAGGTGTGGGCTGTAACTCCTGGACAGGCTCGGATCCCCGTGGCCGCGGTGCTGGTGCAAGTCCTGGTGCTGGGCTGGGCTCCTGTACAGCCCCAGCTACTGCCCCTTCTACCTGGGGCTCAGGCTGAGGCCTTGGCTGGGGCTCTTGAGCCCCAGAGGGTGCTGGTGCAAGTCCAGATGCTGGGCTGGGCTCCAGTACAGCCCTGGCTTCTGCCCCTTCCACCTGGGGCGCAGGCTGGAGCGTGGGCTGGGGCTCTTGAGCCCCAGGGAGCAGCTTGGCTTGTTTAGGCTCTTCGTTAAGGAGGGTCCCGGGGACCTCAGTATGCCATGGGGTCTGCAGGGTCTCAACACCCTGAATGGGCTGCAAGGGCTTGAGGTGAGACACGGTCTCCATGTACTCAGCCCTCTGGGGCTCAGGGGCCTCTGGGAGTGGCTGAGCCGAGTACAACATGGTGTCCTCCTGCAGGGAGGGTTCCAGACTGCCTTCTGGCTTCATCTCCGTGTCCTGAGGAAGGAAGGCATCAGGGCTGCCCTTGGCTGCTCCCTGCCCTCCCCACCCCTACCCTGGCCCCTACCCCCACACCCAAACCCATCTCCTGCCCCCTGCTGCTCATCTTGTTGTTGCCCTCACCTGCTGCTCGCTCGCTGCAGGGAACATGGCCTCGTGGAGCCCGCTCCAGAGCACCAACTCCTCGCTCTTGGGGAGGCTGCTCATCTTGTTCTGCATGGCGGTCTGCAGGCAGGGGTGGGACGGAGCTGCGTGATTCCGGAGAAGGAGGAGGAGGGCCTGTCCTCACGGTCTGCCTCCTTTAGGTGGGTCCTTCTGGGGTGGCCCACCTCCCCTCTCCCCACCCTGGAGCTGGGGGAGCCAAGGGTGGGGAGATTCCGCAGGGGTCATGGCCCTCACCAGTTCGTGCTGCAGGGAAGTCATCCTGCGGTTCTGTCTTCTGAGATCGTCAACGAGTGCGTCACACTTGTCTGCGTTCACCTGCCACGTGAAACATGCCTGTGGGCCGGGGCTGCATCTTCTGGGCCCGGCCCTGCTTCTTCCCATGCCTTGAACATATGGATTTAGCTCCAGGTGATGGAGAGTTTGAGGGGGAAGAAGAGTTATCTCCAGATAACGGTGGCTTCAAGAGAGCTCGTCGGGGGGAGGTGGGGACAGGATTCCAGGGGCCAACAAGCATGGAAAATGCTGGGCTGAGGGGCATCCAAGGGGCTCCTTTGGATGGAGCAAGAATTCTCAGTTCCTTCCGTGGAAAAGGCACATGAGGAATCTCTAAGAGGCAGGTTGAGTAGGCACTGGTTCTCCAACAACCTTGTCCAAAGGGGCCTTTTCTAGTGTTCCCCGACATCCTTTCTGGAGGATACCTGTCCTGGATTGGATTGTGCACCCTCTCCCCAACAGTGATGTGTCCATTTGGCTTCCCTGGGCAGTTATGTCACGATGTGATCATCGCCCCCAGGATGTGACCTGATGTGAGCAGCCCATCCGTTGTAAGAGGCTGAGGGTGGGAGGCGACTCCCTTACTCGGGTCACAGCCCTGATCCCATGTGAAGGGGAGTCCCATGGGCACTATTCTGTATTACCCACTGTCTCACAAGCCCTAAAAGGAGAGAGAGGAGCAGAGAAGGAGGGCACGAGTACCACCATGAAGGAGGAGCTGTGAGCGGGGCACATCCTTTGGACCCAAGGTCCCTGTGCTGTGAACCCCCTAGAGGCAGGGGAAGATAGATGCCAAGACACGTGGAGATCTCCAAGGGATTTTGACAGGAGACCAGAGCCTACCCCCAGATCTGACACAGAGAGAAAGCCTTCCCCTAGAGTCAGCATCCTGACTCTGAACTAGTAGTGTGAGGAAATAAATTTCTGCTTGTTACACACCACACACACACACACACACACACACACTCACACACTTGTGGTATTTCTGTTCTAACAGCACTAGTGGTATGGCTCTTCTAGTCATGGTCTCTGTAACTGCCACCAAATACTAGATGGGACCATGCAGATTGGGGGTGTTTCTTCTTTTCCTGATGGGTTTGGATAAGAGAGGGTGAGGAAAGATGCTGGTAGGATGATATGATTCAATTGTGAGTGGTTATTAGCAGGGTTAATTGTGATTGTAAAAACTTGGAACTCTCACATAGGAGGTGGTCTGTTGAGCCCTTTCAGAAGCAGCTAGGAGGCATCTCAATACCACCAGGAAAGAAAAGCCAGGAGTGGAGCATATCCTTTGGACCCTGAGATTCCTATGCATTGAAGCTTCTCCATCCAGGGATAGAAAGTTACGATATCAGAGAAGTGGCAGAGGTGGGGCAGCAGCAGAACCCGGAGTCAGAGCATGAGAAAGAGTGGTGAGTGTCCCAGTCCATGCAGCCAGTGAAGCTGAAAGTCTTTTTGGCAGAAGCTTGATTGTGGAGTGGGGTGCCTCCAGGCACTTAATTGGGGAGCCAGTTTGTTGACTCGTGGAACTAATGCTGAGCACCTTCAGGTTGAGGCTTATGGTACAGTGATGTGCCCTTTGGATATTCATCGGCAACACTAAAAGGGCTCTGTCACATTGCCTAGCAGGACAGAGATGAAGGGATCATGTGGCTGAGAGACCAAGGATCAGAGAAAATCCTGCCTGTGGGCGCAGCTGGGAAAAGGCCGTTTTGATGGAAAACTGTGTCCTGAACATTTCTGATCCTGTATTGTAATTTTTCAACTTCCCTAACAAATTATATAATCGTGAGTATGGTCTGTGAGTTCTGTGTAGCCATAGAAATGAATTATTGCCCCCAGTTGAAGCAGAGAGGGCTGGGGAAGAGAGCGCAGGTGTTCGAATTGGTAAGGAAGGTGGGAGGGCAGGGGCATGTCTGACTTCAGCCTCATAGGAATGAGCCTTGGGCTGGTGGGGCATTTGATTCTCCCTCCCTCTGGTGCAGTCCGAGGAGGTTCAGGCACCACCTTCATGCCCTTTTCCACCACTAGATAACTGAGACCGTGACCTTTCTCTTCCAAGAATGAAGTGCTCAGAGTTGCCATGGTGACCAAAGCGCCAGCTAACCTGGAAGTTGGGGATGATGCATTCGGTCACACAAGTTTGCAGCAAGTGACAGAACCCCAGCCACAACACTGGCCTGGGGATGCAGCTACCTGGCTGCTGACCCAGCACTGACTCCTCACTCTTCAGGAATGCCATGTCCTTCCAGATCATAGTAGGACATGAGAACATTGTCTGGACTGATAACCTTGTGCTAAGACCAAGAGCTCGGATGTATGCCTGTGCTGGGCTCAGTGTGGACAGTTTTCTAGAAGAGGAAAAGGTATTCTCTCTTTGCTAAGTCCAGTGGAAGCCTGGAGATTCAGAGATGTGGAAAGTACCTGCCCGATGAAGAACCTTCGGAGGAAAGTATTACTGAGAGGGAGAGAGAGACTGTCGGTGCCATGTGAGCATCTAAATCCGGTTGTATCTTGAAGCCAGACCTGAACTTCTTTTGGCAGATGAGACAAATTCCTAAGACAATAAAATGCCTTAGCCAGGATAAGGTGAGTTTTTATCGCTTACAGCCAAGTGTCCTGAGTAACCCGCAGGCGAGGAAAGCTCAGCCAACAGGCCAAGTGCTTGGGCAACTTATCCCCCTGCCCTCGCAGGTGAGTTATTTGAACAGGCTCCCTAGATTTACGCCTCTGCCTCAACCTTCAAGGCCTGAGCAGTGCGCCCAGCATGGAGAATACTGGGAGGTCTACCTTCTCAAACTGGTCCTTCAGTAGGCCCGTATCGGTTCTGAGCTTCTCCACGGTGACCTGGGTGGAGTTAAGGTTGCTGAGCAGCTCCTGTAACACCTGCATGACCTAGAAAGGGGGAGAGGGGAAAAGGGGACGTTAGTTGCAGCTGTGGCGAGGGAAGGTCAGCGCAGTAAAGCAGCCACAGCCCAAAGGGCCCTCAAGGCTCTCCCCCCGGCTGGGGATGGGACATCCGAGGACCTTGTGGTTAGGTGGTGTTGCGTCAGCCCCAGCTTACAGCGACCTCATGAACAACAGCACGGACCTCTGCGGGATTAGCCGCTGGAAACCTTCTGGGTAGCAGGGGGCATTGTTGGACATGGAAAACCTCATGCAGAGCAGCAGAAGCTGAGCCCGCAGGTTGAAAGGCACTCAAACTGTGACTGAGGAGCTGCTCCTCAAGGTAGAGTGGACCTGACTGATGAGGGTGGAGTCAAGCCTGCGGGACCTTTGTTTGCGGAAGGGGCACGGCTCAAAAGGAGAAAGATCAGCTGCAAACACTTGTTCACTGGAACTTGGAATGCACGAGGTTTGAATCCAGGAAAACTGGAAGGTGTCCAAAATGAAATGGAACACATAAAGAATGATGTCCTATAGGAAGTAGTGAGCTGATATAGATTGGTATTGGCCATGTTGAATCAGTCTGTTATACGGTTTACTCTTCCAGAGTGACAAGTTCAAGAGGAATGACTTTTCACTCATCGCAGTGGTATCTGCGATACGATAATATCTATCTACATACAAGGAAACCCAGTCAGTATCATTGTGATTCAAACTTCTACAACGGCCACGCCAGCGAACGATGAAGAAATGGAAGCGTTCCAGCAATGTCATCAGTCTGAAAATAATCAAACATGCGATCAAGATGCACCAGTAATTATTGGTCATTGGAATGCAAAAGTCGGAAACAAAGAGGAAGGAAGAGTGGTTGGGAAATATGGCTTCGGTGACAGAAATGAAGCTGGAGATTACATGATATAATTTTGCAAGACCAACAACTTGTTCATAGCAAATACCTTTTTCAACAACACAAAAGATGACTCTACCCTTGTGCTACTCCTGATGGACTATGCAGCAATCAAAGCAGCTGCATCTGTTGGAGAGAGGTGGAGAAGCTCAGTCTCAGCAGCTGAAACAAGATCAGGTGCTGACTGGGCAACAGACCATCAATTGCCAAAGTTGAGGCTGAAGCTGAAGAACATTGAAACAAACCCACAAGAGTCAAAATGTGACCTTGAGGATATCCCACCTGAACTTTGATACTATCTCAAGAACAGATTTGCTGCACTGGACACTGATGACAGAAGACCGAGAAGCTGTGGTATGACATTAAGAACATCATATAGGAAGTCATTAAACAGACAGGAAAGACAGAAAACATCCAAGGGGCTGTCAGAAGAGACTCTGCAATAGGCTCTTCATTGTAGAGTAGCTATAGCAAAGGCAAGACGGATGAAGTCAAGGACCTGAATAGAAAATTTCAAAGCAACTGGAGAAGATAAAGTTCATGAAATGTGCAAGGACTTAGAGTTAGAAAACCCCGAAGGAAGAACACACCAGGCATATCTTAAACTGAAAGAACGAAAGAAAAATTCAAGCCTTGAGTTGGAATATCAAGATTCTATGGGCAAAATATTGAACGATGCAGGAAGCATCCAAAGAAGATGGAGAGAGCGAGACAGAAGCAACACGGAGGAGACAGGCTTGATCTGAGAACACGGCCAGCACCACGAGCCTCCTTAACAAGCCCAAGAGCCCCCCACTCTCATGATCCGAACTCTACCTCGCAAGTCTGGCTAGACCGGAGGATGTACACAGGTACAGAGAGGAGCTGGAAACACAGGGAATCCAGGGCGGATGAGCCCTTCAGGACCAGTGGTGAGAGTGGCAATACTGGGAAGGTGGAGGGAGAGTGGGGTGGAAAGGGGGAACCGATTACAAGGAACTATTGTGACTTCCTCCCTGGGGGACGGACAACAGAAAAGTGGGCGAAGGGAGATGTCGGACAGGGCAACATATGCCAAAATAATAATTTATAAATTATCAAGGATCCATGAGGGAGAGGGGAGAGGGGAGGGAGGGGTAAAATGAGGTCCTGATGCCAGGGGCTTAAGTGGAGAGAAAATGTTTTGAGAACGATGAGAGCAATGAATGTACAAATGTGCTTTAAACAACTGATGTATGTATGGATTGTGGTAAGAGTTGTATGAGCCCCTAATAAAACGATTAAAAATAAAAATAAAAAGGAAAAAAATGGCATATGTGCATATAGCCAACTCACAAAAAACAAAACAAAAAACAAGCCCAAGAGTGAGATGATCCCGGAGGAGCTGCAGAAGTGAGAGGTGGAGGACTTCAACATGGCCCCTCTCCGTGCTCACACAGTCAGTGAAGACCCATACCCAAGTACAACACGAAGCGTCTGGGCTGAGTGAAGGCCTTCGACAAGCACTGCAACATGGTGCTGGAGAACGTGAAGGAGATGTGGACCGAGGTCCCCAAGAGCGGCAAGGGTAGGAAGAAGTCCAAGCCTGTCCACAAGGACCGCTACATCTCCAAGATGTTCCTGTGAGGGGACTCGGGCATCATGGTGTGCGGTACACCCCCATTGCCGGCAAGTAGGGCCTAGCACCACCACCCTGGGAAGCCCTGCTCTGTGGATCCGCAAGAATAAATGCCAGTGTGATGGCTAAAAAAAGAAGAAACACTTGGAAAGAATACACAGTCACCGTACCACAAAAGAACTGGTTGATATTCAACCATTTCAAGCAGTAGCACACAATCAAGAACCAATGGTACTGAGGGAGGAAGTCCGAGCTGCACTGAAAAGCATTAGTCAAAAGCCAGGTTTCAGAATTGATGGGATAACAATGAAAATGTTTCAACAGGCTGAGAAAGCACTGGAAACACTCACTTGTTTATGCTAAGAAACTTGGAAGTCAGTTACTTGGACAACTGGCCTGGAAGAGATCTTTACACCTAAAACTACTGAGATTCAATCACATTGACATTTTAAAAGTGATTCCTGTTGACTGTGAGCAAGTTTCTAGCATCTACTTCCAAGTTTCAACCTTCATTAAACTGTCTAAAGAGAAAAAAAACCAAACCCAAAACCCTTAAGTACTATTTTGGGAAGAGGCCCTTAATGAATAAACTTCATACCCACTCAGTTAGTTAGTTACAAGGAGCCCAGGTTGCAAAATGATTAAGCACTTGATTGTTTCACGGAGGGGAAACCAACGGAACAAACAAAACGCCTCCTCATCAGCTGCCAGAAAATATGACTGCCCAGGAAACCCTCTGGGGCAGGTCTACTGAGTCGGAGTCAATTTGATGGCACACAAAACAAGAGCGGTATCCTTTTTTAAAAAGACGAAACAAGTGTTGGTGAGAAATTGGAACGCTCACGCATCCCTGGTGGGAATATAAAATGATGCAACTGCTTTGTACTCCAGCCTGGCAGTTCCTCAGAATCTTACACATTGAGATGTATCCAGCAAGCCCACCTCTAGTACACACCCAAGGGAAATGAAGTACACGTCTGTACAAAAGTTTACACATCAGTGTTCGCAGCAGCATTATTAAATACAGCCCTGTGGCAGTTATATAATCTCCTGTCAACTTGTGAAGGGGTGGAGTCTAGTCCGTCAATCAGGTCACAGCTTGATGACCTCATTTGGAGGCGCCACGGAGATAAAATACACACACAGACCACAGAGGCCAGATACACACACACACACATGGAGCTACGCTACAGTCCTGGAGCTGGAGGAGCCAATGTGGAGACCCCTGCCAGTACTGAGATGATCCATAAAACTTTCTACCCACTGGCCTGTGATCTTCCTGCATTCAGCTTCATTACATGGCTGTGTGAGTCTAAAGAGGAAATGTATGGACTGGTATTGATATATGGGGTAATATGGACTCGATCTGGACTGGACTGGGATGCTTTCTTAAAATGCAATTACTCTTTTATAGAAAGCTCTTTCTTAAACACATATGAGTCTCCCTGGATTTGTTTCTCTAGTCAACCCAGACTAACACGAGCCCCCAAAGTACAAAGAATCCAATTGTCCATTGACTGATAAACAAAATATCCATACAGTGGATATGATTTGGCTTCACTGGCACAAAGGGATGAACCCTGAGAGTAGGCTAAGTAAAAGAAGGGCAGGCAGAGGAGGGTTGAGAAGGGGGTGTGCCTGCAAATGATGATGCAATGTCTTTTGGGGCAGTTGAAAATGTTCTCAAAGTGGAGTTTGGTGAGGGTTGCGTATCTCTGAGTATACTAAAACCATGAACTAGTACATTTTAAATGGATGCATTTTATGATACAGCAATAAAACTATAAAACTAACAGCATTTTTTTCCTTATAAACAATTCAAGCAATGTCAACACTGACTGTCTATTGGATAGTTGTTGTTCGGTGCTGGGGAGGCCATTCTGATTCATGGTGGTCCTGTGACAGCTCAGGAGGACAAAGCACTGTCCCATCCTGTGTTGTCTTTAACAGTTGCTGTGGCCACCAGTGTCCAGCCACCCTACTGAGGGATTGTTACATGATCCCCTCCTTTATCAAGCATGATGTCCTTTCCCAGCAACTGGCTTCTCCTGACACGTCCAAGGGAGGTAAGAGGAAATCTCACCTTCCTTGCCTCTTAAGTGCAATCTGGCTTTTTTTTTTAAGTAAATATTTTTATTTATTTTAAATCATTTATTGGGGGCTCATACAACTCTTATCACAATCCATCCATCCATCCATTGTGTCAAGCACATTTGTACACTTGCTGCCATCATCATTTTCAAAACATTTTCTTTCTACTTGAGCCCTTGGTATTAGCTTCTCTTTTTTCCCCTCCCTCCCTCCCCCTTCCTCCCTCATTATCCCTTGATAATTTATAAATTATTATTTTTTCATATCTTACACTGACCGATGTCTCCCTTCACCCACTTTTCCGTTGTCTATCTCCCTGGGAGGGGGTTATAGGTAGATCATTGTGATTGGTTCCCCCTACTTCCCTCACCTTCCCCTTGAAAGCATTAAAGAACTAGAGGAAAGTTGTATGTT